GAGAAAGAGGCATAAACATAGAGAAACAGGCAAAATGAACAGAAAAAGAGAGACAAAAAACAGACAGAGATTTGTATTAATTGGAATATCGTCAAGCAATAGGAGGGAGCGACAAAACATACCCTGGAAATGAATAATTCTTGTGTTGGTGGTGCGTGTTGGTGGTGAGTGTTGGTGGTGCGTGTTGGTGGTGCGTGTTGGTGGTGCGTGTTGGTGGTGCGTGTTGGTGGTGCGTGTTGGTGGTGTGTGATGTGTGTTGTGTGTTGGTGGAGTGTGTTGGTGGTGCGTGTTGGTGATGTGTGTTATGTGTGTTAGTGGTGCGTGTTGGTGGATCCGTGTTGGTGATGTGTGTTTGTGATGTGTGTTGGTGATGTATTTTATGTGAGGTTGGTGGTGAGCGTTTGGTGGTAGTTGGCAGGGGAAGTGGTGGTGACAAGGTTTTATATGAACACTGAAACTAAATAATGTATATAATGCTGATGATGCTTCTGATGATTATGATGAAAATAATAATGATAATTGCCTTGAAAGTGATGTTTTTAATTAATAATGTAATTAATTTGTCTTGTGATAAAGATAACGATAACGATGATGATAATAATGACAAATATAATAATTCAGAATATGCATCACACATAGGGTCCTTTAAGCCTATGCACACAATTTATCGTATCATTACTTCAAAGTGAAAGTGGGTCCCATAGGCATGATGGCCCGTTAGGGGTAGTGTGGATACAGCACACTGTATACTAAGCCTTTGGTTCTCAAGGAGGCAACGTGGCCAGTACTGCATTTTCCCAACTTGTAAAATCGGGTACCCATTTACACCTGGAAGGACTAAGAGTGCCCCGGGGATAGAACCAGCTATCCTTAAGAGGCAAACACCATGTCCACTCGATCCACTATTAATTGATTCCCTCACAAACACCTGGACTTCGGTGACCTGTATCTGTTGTACCCAGCCAACACTTCCTGCCTCGTAAACATGATGGGAATTAATATACTTTTTACTTTTTGACGTAAAATCAGGTGTGTTTGGCTAATTAACTTATTGATCGACAGGTAATATTTTTCATATACCCGAAAACTTAAATCTTGGGAGAAAAAAAATTATATACTGTATATATATATATATATATATATATATATATATATATATATATATATATATATGGGCAGCACTGCGAGAAATAATGTGAGAAAATCTTGTTAGTAAATATTGGATGTAATATCACAACAGCTGGCCGGGGACGGCTGTGTAGGAACCAGTGATATTATGTGTGTGTGTGTGCGCTTGCTTGTGTTGGCGTCTTTGATAGTTTGTACCTGCGCTTGTATTTTCCTTTATGAAACTGTGTACTGTGTTTAAAAACATTCGTGTCCGTGTATTTATTGTTCCGTGAACACCATGCATATTGTACTGTTTTGTAAAATTTGTTTGTATACATGCCTTTGTAACAAGCGTTTGCGCAAAGTTTATTCTATATATACATATACACACACGAACATGTGTGTGTGTGTGTGTGTGTGTGTGTGTGCGTATCACTTTACTGTTGAGCAATTAATTATAATTGGAACATTCCAGTTACTTTAAGTTACCTTTGGTAAATTATACTAACCCCGCTTCGGCTAAGACGCTTCATCAAAGCCACTTAGTTTTTGATAAACAAACAGAAATACACAAGCTCAGAAATATAGCCTTTACTGATGATTCCTCCCAAAAATCTGTGTTAATGCCATTTATTAACATACACCAGAGATGAAATACGAGACAAAAAATTTAATCTTTCTTCCTCCTTCCGTTGAATGAATACATAATTTATTTCAAGACTTTACAAGCAATGAAGACTGTTTGTCACCGTTCAGAGTGAAAATGTAACTTTTTCTTGATAATGAATAGAAGCAAATCTGCTCCCTAAACCTTTGCTTTGTAGTGCTTCAGTCACATTGTAAAAATTTGGAGGGAAGATTTTTCTGTCTATAAAGGACAAAGACTAGACAAAAACCGGCAGATTTGTGTTCGGAAGGCGAGTGACCGGTTTCAGAATGCGAGACTTACATGCTGCAGTGTGTAGTAAGCATCTCGTCTCCTGTCACTGCTGACTTGTGGAACGTTTGGTTAATATGATAATTTTCTTGTATTATTTCACCTTTAAAAATTATTGTAGAGACTTAAATAGCAATTACTTAATAATAAGTGCATTTGAAACCAGTAATTATGCCGTGAATGGTTAAAAATTTACAAATGCACAAGGCAGATCATTCACATTCTCATTAAAATAAGTAGGGTCTCAAAGAACGTGAGAGTTACGTTCCTGGAGTCTGGCGTAAGAACGAATTTCGCGTACATTCGGTTCCCTCCTGTACAGATAGTATACGTAAAACACGTTTTCTATACTAAAGGAATCCGACCCAGGGTAAACACGGCGTGAACTCCCAGAAAATATGTACCCTGTACAGTATAGAAACTGTTTAAATTATCAATAAAAATACATAAATATTATAAATATAAATTTTATAAAATAAAAATAAAAAATGAGTTTGAGTACCTCAGTTTCATGATGTTTGATGACTCGACTGACTCGTTCATATGAAACCAACGCGCAACTTCAGTTAGATGCACCACTCCTTAATAAGTCCAATACGTTGAATTTTCTCCGATAAAGATGGTGCCAGAAGCTAGCAAGAGATGTTGGGTGGGTAAATCTGATTCCAAGCAAAAGACGCTGAAGCTAACGAGAGTTGGATCGCACAAGAGCAAGTCTCACACCAAAAGGTGGATCAGGGGGTCAACCGCTGAGTGGGTTGTGTACTCTGGATATGCGTACAGTACTTTGAGACCCTACTTATTTATTCACTGTGTTGGTTAAGACGGTCAGTATTCATTGTAAGTCACATGGGTACAAATCTCTCACGTCATAATTCTAAATAATAATAATAATAATAATAATAATAATAAAAATAATAATAATAATAATAATAAGAGGCATTTTTTAATACTACAACTCTTAAAGTAAACAAAACCATATTTTAAAACCATATGTTGCAGTGCATATACAGTATCAATATCATCATGTGTAGACTTGCCTCTGTGTTAATTAAAGTAAATACACTTGAGGGTATTAGGTTACTCTCAGTACATTATATTGTTGTGCAGAGAACTTATTAAAAAATATATATATATATAAACAAAAGGTCGAGGAATAAATCACAATGCAGATCAGGTTGACTTGTTGAAAGACTCGCTTCATGTTTGATATAATACGAGACTATTGTTTACGCTGTTCTTTATTCTTTAGTAATATGTCTATGGGGGTACACGCAGCCCTATCGAGGAAGGGAGGAATTATCTACCTCATGTTGTCAGATCATCGACTTTGAGGATCTTAAGTAGATTAATATCAGACTCGGCTGCACACACAACAGTATTACGAACTTCTTTAAGGAGTTATTCTCTTTCTTTGATGGAATGAGCGTCCAACAGATCTCCTTCGCGGTTTCGTGGTTTATTGTGAGATCAGTGAAGTGGAAAGGCAGACTGGTTTTCATGACCTTTATATCCTACAACACACACAATCCACCACCACCACCACTAATAATAATAATAATAATAATAATAATAATAATAATGTAGCTGTTTAATGTGTAAAAGCTGTCTCCAAAACAACACCCAAGGTTGAAGAGCGCTACAACCGACAGTAAGGAAATAACTCTGGAAGGCCGGACAACTCTCCAACTGCACTGGCTAACAGTTACCCTAGAATGCAACCAGACATCCGATTTACATGCAGGCTCCCTATTACTGCTGAAATGACAATAGATAAAAGGCCCAAAGATAGTTGTCCATAGTTACACTCAAAACGGGATCGAATTCGGGACTACTCATTGGCGAGGCGAGTATGCAGTCTCCCACAAACTTAGCAGCCATCTACCACTATCTCCAACACAACAACCCTCAACCACCATCTCCCACCACACACAACCCTCTACCACTATCTCCACACAACAACCCTCAACCACCATCTCCCACAACACACACAACCCTCTACCACTATCTCCAACACAACAACCCTCAACCACCATCTCAACCCTCTACCACTATCTCATCTCCCACAACACACACAACCCTCTACCACTATCTCCAACACAACAACCCTCAACCACCACACAAACAATCTCAAACACCATCTCCCACCCTCTACCACTATCTCCAACACAACAACCCTCAACCACCATCTCCCACAACACACACAACCCTCTACCACTATCTCCAACACAACAACCCTCAACCACCATCTCCCACAACACACACAACCCTCTACCACTATCTCCAACACAACAACCCTCAACCACCATCTCCCACAACCCTCTACCACTATCTCCAACACAACAACCCTCAACCACCATCTCCCACAACACACACAACCCTCTACCACTATCTCCAACAACAACCCTCAACCTCCATCTCCCACAACACAAAGTCTCCACGGCGATCTTGTAGATAGGGGTTAAGGCATTCTTCATCAACAATGCCTCCACCAAAAGGAGAAATAAACGTGGTCAGCATAATAGGAACAGATCACAGCAGTGTTATGATGACCCCAGAAAGAAAGAACTTACCGTGTAAATCTATAGTCAAGCAGACTGGTGAGGGTTAAAAACAACTCAGAACACCTCAAATGCTGAGACTTTCAAACTTCCCTCGTTGCAGTCCGGGAGCGCGCGAATGAACTTAAGACAAAATGCATGGGAAAAATATGTCAACAGCCTGAACCAATACACTCCCCTTAGCAAAGTCTGGAAAGACATAAACTCAATCAGAGGTAAACACAGTCGACACGTCTCCCATCAAAACCCGCTACAAAAATCGAATGAGATAATAACAAAGTGGGTTAATGTCTCTAGCTATAACATGTTATCAACTAACACTTGAGAACTCCTTGAGATGAAGTCTGTAGAGAGAAGTTATCTCATTACCTTTATGCTGGGCAAACAACACGATGAGTGTGATGTTCCCGTCCACCTATGATCGAATTGAACCTTTAGCTAAACCCGTGTCCAACTGTGAGAATGTTGAACAAAATCTAGCACCCGAAAAAATGTAAGCAGAAAAGACTTTGTTGATGATTTTGAAGCAAGTAGACAAGTGCAAACAGGCAATAGTCAATCCATTGTTTACCATGAGATGTATCAAATAAAAAATGGATATGGATAATGCAACAAGATCACTAGATTACTAGATGTAACCGCTAGAGTGGCTAGACTAAGGTTAGGATATAAGTACCTCTGGCAGTAGGCCTATGCCTCTCAGGCCGATGTAAACAAAACTAAATGTAAAGTTTGCGGCCAGACATAGACACACACATTCCAACAAAACGTTTTAGACTGTGAAAAAATAGAACCTTAAAGGAACAGATCCAAGCACACTAAGTATGCAATGGCACAGTACCTTATATCTGATGTTAACATAGCTGATATACTGAAGCTGTATCCACACTTCGCATCTAATACCTAATAAAAATTATATATACAGACCTAAACGAACAATGTACTGGAAATACTCTGCAACACTAAATGCCATAATATCATGACCACTAGGGTCTGATAAACACCCTTTGCACCACAATAAACTACCAGCTGTCCGCGGCAAAATTAAGAAATTAAGTTCCTAACATCACAACACTGCTACACGGCTACCATATAGCAACTACGAGCCAATGACATTCTACTTTGTAACCTATATTAAAACTATTACCATGAAAGAAACGTTTGCACTCAGAGATAGAGTTGGAATTCTTATTTAGCATCCTTATTCTGGTTACTAATACGAGGTTACTTATTGGACCATTCCGGGAGTTTTAAACGATGTAAACAAACAGACATACCATGTACTTAAATATTACCGAACACTTTAAAAATTTACCCGGTAATACTTTATAAGTTTTGTGCGGGGTAACGAGCAACATAAGAAACTTTAACAGAAAAAAAAGAATTCCCTAGAGAATCCCTAAAAATGGGGTAGTGGTCAATTTATACCAAACCTAACTTAAAGACCCCAAGGATCCAAACCTAACTACACTCATAAATCAAGATACATGACTTATCTAAGCTAATTTATCACTTAAAATGAGAGAAAATAAAAAGAAACCCTAACCTATCATCACATAGTTAACTTGGTAGTTGTGAAACGCGAGGACAGGAAACACGGGTTGGCACTGACTACATTCACGTAAAAAAGTATAAGAAAAAAACCCGTCATATTAGCCACTTTGCATTAAATATTCCATACACAAAATCTCCCCAAACGTGGTATTGTACTTACTGTAGTGACTCGGAGACCATGACGACGATGGGCGTCCCGAGAAATGACCACTGAGTTCACACGTAACAGATTGTATGCAATAAATTTTCACTTCCTTTCTGCAGAAGTTTTTTTTTCACAATAAAAGTCTTCACTGTTATTGTTATGTAACAAGCAATAACTGTTAATAAATGTAAGACAATCAGAGGCCTAGTCACTACACCAGGAAAATAAGTAAGGCTCCCGCGAACATGAAAATTTGGTCCGAAAATGTCAATTATGACTCATTTTTCTTCATAATAGTTGGTATCAGACTTAGTCAACACAATCACAGCCATTAACTAAACTTTACAATCTTTTAGAGTAACAATTCTTGACCACAGCTTTTCACTATAGTTATATAAAGGAGATTTTCTGCTCCTATTGACCAGTGAAGAACATTTCGGAGTAACAGTCACAGACGATTGACTTCCGTTGACTGGAAAATAAATTCAAATTATTTATGAATTTTGTCAGTAGGGTCAACTTCTTGAGAACAAGTGTTGACGCTGATTTGTAAGTCATTGCCAAGTACTCATTTTAAGATATTCAACCAGCGCCATCTATTGAGTGATATATCAACCATAATTGGAAATAACCCGATATCAATTCAATTCAATTTCAATTGCTTATTCCTTGATAGAGGAAGCGGGATCCTAGTGATGTCACTAGGTACCCCTGTACAATGACACCAGAAGCATCTGGCAAGTGTGACAAGTATATACAGTATAAATATTATAAAGGGGCTTACTAAAGCCTAAGGAAGGAAGGATATTCCTTTAACACATAATCAATATTATTTACAAAATATCTGGCCAGTATGGGGAGGATCATCGCGTCTCCGTCAGGGGGTCGTGGAGTGGTGGTCCAGCAGGCGTCACGGAAGCGTTGTGTGTGGGGACATCTTAGGAGGTAGTGGATAAGGGTGCTGCTGTCGGGTCTTCTGCATAATGCACATGAGCGTTGCTCAGGGGATGCGGGGATACCAATCTCCCAAGCAAAGTCATACCCAATGATGATACGGGCAGCAATCACGTCATCTTGACCCCTGAACTTAATTTTAAGATGAACGTTTTCTTTCATTTAATCAGACTCAATATGTGGGGTAACTCCCTTGTTATTCACACTTAGTTGTTTTTCCCTAATATTTCCCCAATATGTCGCAAGTTATTTGAAGTGTGAGTTCGGTCTGTTGTTTTCCAAGTTTAGTTCACTGATTTCTTTTCTCTGTTATGAGTCTCTTTTTTCGATTGGGATTTCCTTCCTTTCAATGACTCACTCTGGGACCGCCGTCATTATGTAATAGCGGTGAGCCCACTCAAGGGTGGAAAATGGCAGTAATACATTGATTATTATTATTATTATTATTATTACAGATCTGTTGTCGTATTCTTAAATTTATTCACTAACTTCCAATATTCCTAAGCTGATACGACTCGGTATGTTATGCATTTATCCCCTCACAGTTTCTGTCTTTCACCTATTCAGTCAACTGCAGTTATTGCTAGTCAGTATTTTTTGTTAGTTAAATGAGTTCACTTTCATTTCATCTATTTCTCGTTGCTTGAAGTTTCATTTTACCTTTGTAAACCAAAAAGTTGTCAATTTATCAAATAAAATTGATTTTTCAACTTCAGTTCTGGTAAACCCGGGCAGTCCTCTAGCCCCTGGTCGCTTTGACGTACAGTATGAGTTCACGACCGATTTCATGCCGGCCAGCACGCGAAAACACCTCAGTGCCAAAATCCCTTTCAACAGAGCTCGGACAGACACTTCCGCCTGGCAATACGCTTACCTGCTAGTGGTGGTGGCTGACCTGATGATGGACATTTCTTTTTTTTTTCATGTTTATAATCTTCAATAGCAAAACTTTTTTCTCTTTTTACTTTCCACGAAATGGTGTTATTTATTAGATTTATTACTATTTTTATATATAATTGTTTCTGGTGATTTTATTTATGTGAGTTTTGATTATACTTGTTTTTGTTTATATGTTTTACCGACGTTAACTAAATATACGACGATTGTTAGCCCGGAGTTACTTCCTCGAGTTCTCACGTCACTCCAGACTTGGTGGTTCCTGGCCCATCCCTCACACACCCTACACCACTCATAGTCTACATCACCCTCACAAACCCTCTCTCTACGTCTGTGGCCAGACAAGCTTGAAACTCTACGTCCTCTAAGATGTGGTGATATTAAAGTTGAGTCAAGCAGTGAGACCAGAGTAAGGACACACACACACACGCCACACGCACACACACTTGTCTCTCTCCCCTGGAAGCGCTACACAACCACTACAGGTCCCAGCCTTTAACTATCCAGTCACCAGATACCCCGTACATATTTTATTCCTTATATTCACAGACTTGTAGTCCCGAGCTCATTATACTTACAAATAATCAAAATAGAAATGTAACACACACACTGTACACACACGCATTCACGCTGAAGGTCATTTCATTCAAATGAAGTGCATAAATTCAGAGTATGTTCATGAACGACTTATAAACTTTACCAACAAGTTATGAAATAATTTACGAACCGGACATGTGTAACTAACAAACTGTGAATTAAAAAAAACATATTGCATTATTATTGAATATAAAAACAACATCAGGTCGATATTTTAGAGTCAGCTGCTTAACAAATATAGTAATAATCTTACCCGTGTAATCAGTAGAAGACAGTAGTGTTTTACAAGACTGATCAATACAATCTACCAGGGAGAAGCTTGGGGTAACCTTTGGGGGAATAATAAAATAATGTGTTATAACAAGTTAGTAAAACAATATATACCTTATATAACTAATTTTACAGATTTTAAATATGAATAAAGGACAATATAATCTGTCACATGAGGAATGTTACATCACGCAGGAGGTGAGTGTTGATAAGAGTCCTTCGCTCTTTCAGGTGAGGTAGAATGGTTCCTGGGGTGACGAGTCGGCACCAGAGCGTCACAGTAACACTGGGTGGCTACTGACACTGCGATGAACCAGGGAGGACCTGAAATGTTGACTGCTGAGGGACAAAGCGGTAGGCACAGGGCGGAGGTGGAGAGCTGGAACGTGAAGCAGAGAGAATTACCAAGGTGCAGCAGCGGATTCAGGTATACTATTAATACTAAGACGTTGGATCACCTCAACATTAGTTCCTTTCCCCCACAGCTTATTCCACTTGAAGATTAGATTAGTTTAGGCTAAGGTAGGCTAGATTAAGTTAGGATAGCGTTAGGGTGGTTCATCTTAAGGTGAAATACGCTGGGAGGGGCGAATCTTGAGGTAATCCAAGATGTTTTCCGAGGTGGTGGTGGTACACAGAATTAATCCCTATGAGGGCATGTATGTACAAACCTCGACATATTAGGAGGAGAAGAAGGAACACTGTAGGTAATGAGATGATGTCAAGGGGCTACGAGGCAAAATATTTGTTACTGCGGGTGTTACCTGGTCACTCTGTTACATTCTCAGTTGTAATGTGACGCGTCCCTTAGGGAAATGGTAGCACCACCTGGCATGTTTACTTCGCACGCCACCTACCATCGAGGCTGCCCATTACCACAACACGCCATGCCATCTATCAGCCGTATTCTTCATTACCGGGAACTCCTTACGCGTGCAAGAAGTTGTATGAAAAAGAAAAGTAATAACACACACACACACACACAGTCCTACTCACCCGCGATGTTCCTCATCTCTAAGATTAGTAAACTTTTTTGAAGCAATTTTTCTGATGCCAACCAAAACTCTTGGAAAAAA